CAAAAAGATCAGCTTAGCTGCTTTCAAGTCAGGGTCCTCCCTCTGTGCATTAACTGCACGTGCACTACTTGTCTCTCTGCTTAAAATGCCTCTCTAGTCCCTGTATCGGTCAGCACAGGCTAAGTTATGCTGCAGTAACAAACACCCCCAACAGCTCAGCGGTTTTAAACAACAAACGTTATCACTCATGTTGCATGTCCATGGGTCACCAAGGGCTTCACACGCGGAGTGATGCAGGGACTCAGGCTGGTAACAGCCACCACCATCCCACCTTACTATCAGTTGCCATGCCACAGGGAGAGTGCACTGTGGAGTGTCTCACACCAGCAATTAAATGCTGTGGCCCAGAAGTGACGTCTATCACTGTCATTTATAACTCACCAGCCAGTCATGGGGCCCCCACCAAGTGTAGGCAGAGCTCCAGTCAACCTACTGTGGAACTAGAAGAACCGGAAATAGTAAGAGGAAAGCATTAAGGACAACCAGACACTCCCATCCCACTGTGCCCTTCGCTAACCTTAATTCATTAGACGGCAACAGCTCTAGGATTTGAGGAGGAAAGACCAGCCTGTGTAGGAGAGATCGGGGTATGGAGTTCAGAGAGATCTAGGAAAGGATAGGAGATGAGGTCAAGGGCAGAGGCCATATCACTCAGAAGCTTTCAGGTCACTGCACCAATTTGGTTCTTTATCCCCAACACACTGGAAAGACTTCTAGGTGTTTGAAGCAGGAAGTGGGATGCCTGACATGACCCTATTTGGAATGGATCACTCTGACTGCCATGAGGGGGAGGCTGCAGATGGACATTAGGAGGCTCTTGCTGTTGTCCTGGGGAGAGACAGCGATGGCTTGACTACAACACTGGGGAAGAGGGGGTGGAAAGAAGTGGATGGGTTCATTTGAGAGGATAAAATTATCTGGGCGTGGAGATGGAGTAGATTGGGGTGACAGAGACAGAGACACCAAGGCTTCTGCCTTAAAGAGTAGTGGGACAGTGTGCTCTTGGCCAAGATCAGAGCCGTAGAGGAGGTTAGGAAGATTATGGACAGCTTTGGCCCCTGTGTGTTTGTCACGCCTATGAGACAGCCAAGAGAGCAGGCCAAGAAGGCAGCTGAATCCACAGGCAGGACTCCCGACTCCTAGCCCAGTGCTCTTTACTTCATACTTGCCAATAACCTGGAACCAGGGAAACTCCCTGTAAGTCCAGGAGAGGACAAATCCAAATAGGAGAAATCCTACTTGACACCAAGGGGAAGAAATGGATGGAACACATCAACCCAAGAAGTCTAGATGACAGAACTGTAACTCAGGTCAAATGAGTCTGTAAGTGCAGAGGTGATGGCTATCATGACCAATCTAGGACAAGTGAGGGGTGTCCCTCATCTTTGAGAACATCACCAGGAAAGGAAACGAGATCCTGCCACCAGCTGTTCCTTGGAGGCCCTGTCAGTTTGAGACTGGATGGACCACGATGGGGCCTGTAGGGTCTATTCTGATATTCCCAGGACAGTACCTTCTGCCATGATTCTGGGGGAGTGTTTAAGAACACGTCTTAAACAGTATGCCAGGCCCTGGAATAGGCATTTCATCATTGCTATCTCATTTAATTTCACAACTGCCTTGTCAGGCAGGTTTTGTTGGACTCATGTTAGGGATGGAGACACAAGGCTCAGAAAGGCCAAAGACAACAATGTGAAGTCCAAAGTCAGACAGCGACTATGAGGAGGAGGTAGAATTCAAAGAGAGACACCCTTTCCATTAAACTGAATACAGCAAGAGGTCTGGGCTCTATTCCCAGAAGGGGAGGTTTCTACATGTGCCCTACAGAACTCTGCTTGTCCACCTTTCAGAGGGTCGGCGGGCAAAGACTGTGCCCTGCTCCCCAACCATGACCACACCTCCAACAATGACCCTAGGAAAGCCCCAACCTCCCTTCCTCCCAAGAGGAAATGTGGGCGAGGATCAGCTTGGGTGCTACAGGCATCAACGCTCCACGGAAAATTCTTCTGTCCCCAAACCCCCAAAGTTTATAGGGTTTCCAGGTACCAAGAGCAATCTCTCATGATCGCCTCCTGGCCCCACGCACAAAGGGCTGGGTGTGCTTCCTTACAGCCACTCTAAATTATGCAGCACGGCCTTTCTCCACACGAAGCAAACGTCTAGGAAAGAGGAGAGGTTTCACATTTTTCTCCCCTAAATCCCAGCCCAGCCTGGGGGGTTCTAAGCCCCCATCTCCCAACCTGGCTCTAGACACACACCAGCAACTTTTCAACAGCATCGCCCAAGACATTGATACTCTCTTTGCAGCGACTCGCCTAGGGCACGGTGGCCTTGACCGGAGAGAGGTCATTGGCCGCTAAGTTTCTGCAGTTTCTGCATAGAAGAGTACCTTGGGGACTGCGAGTGGGGGTGGAGGCTACGCTCCGGAGAGGTTTCCCGAAGAGTCTACACCGCAACTAACACTTAAAACGCATTCCAGAAACGCCCTCTGGCTCGGCCACGCTTCGCGGGCAATCGCGAAACTTGATAGAGAAGGCTTCGTCGCATCTCAAAGGATGCCTCCCACCTTTATCCCCGAGCCCCCCGCAACAGCCCCCGGCGCGGGACCGAGGGCGTCCACGAGAACTAGGCCGGCTGCCGCGGCGAGCCCTCTGGCGTCCGCGCCCCGCCCCGCCCGTGTCACCGCGTTCTCATTCCGAACGCTCAGCCCGGGCCGCCACTCCCATTGGTCGGCGGCCACGTCCGTCAGCGGGCGCGCCGCTCGCGGAGAGAAAAGGCTACATTGTAACAAGGCGAGGAGCGAGCGAGCTGGGAGGAAGGAGGCGGAGGGCGGCCCCCGGCTCCCGCGGCGGCGGCGGCGGCGGCGGCGGCAGCTACCTGCAGAGGGTTCACCCACCTCGCGGCCCCGGCGGGCCGCCCCCCACCCCGCGCCCGCGCCGCCCGGACCTCCGCCCCGCGCCCACGCCGAGCCCCCCGGCCGCCTGCGACCCAGCCGCCGCTCCCGGCCCCCGCACCGGCGGCCCCCGCGCGCTGGCAAACTGCCGAGCGCTCTCCGAAGCCATTTTCAATGGCCACATTGGCTACCGGGGCTGACTCACCTTCCCGGGAATGCTGCGGCAGCCGCGGGGCCCGGGCGGCGCGGGCGGCCCGGCGGGCGGCTCGGCGGAGGCGGCGCGGCCCCGGCTGGCGGCCCCCGCGGCGGGAGCGGCCGCGCTGCGGGCGCGCTGGTCCCCGGCGAGGCAAAGTTTCAGCGCCAGCCTCGGCGCGGCGGCGGCGGCGACTCGCTGCTGCTCTCCTCCCCTGCTTTGACCACCATCTTATTAGTACAGGAAATGACATGGAAAACGGAAGAAAGCGGCGTTTGGGGCAGACGCGGACCCCCCAATTCAGGGGCCGGAGCCGGGACTCACCAGCCGCATCCCGACCCGGCCCCGGAGAAAACTCCCGGGGCCTCTTCGGCCCGCGCCCTGCCCGGAGGGGGGAACCTGGCTCCCCAAACCCAAAGGGAGAGGGAGCGTTTTATAATCCAGCCCGTGGAGAAATCGAGAAAAAAATGATGAAAAAAAGAAAAGGTTAAGAGAGAACTTTCGAACTGGGATACTTTTCTGGGGTCGGAAGTAAAAGTTCTCAAATTTTAAAAAAGTCATTGCGAGGGGGGCTCCCTGGCTCTCACGGTCCTGTGGCTGTCCATTTGGAACCAAATAGTCGGGGGGAGTCCACGCGTTTGGATTTTTAACCCTTTCAGGGCTCCGCGGCTGGCCCCCTCCCGGTCCCATTTAACCCTTTGAATGCTCAGCAGTTTGGAGATACAAACTGAAGTTGCAAAACGCAGGCGTCCCGCGAAGGCTGAGGGTGAGGGGTTTGGGGTTCGTTAAAAATATTAACTCTTTACCTGGGGTTGCGGTTTTGAAGTCGCGAATAGCACATGTTCTTCAAATCAAAATATATTACAGAGGGAGAGAGATTCTGAGAACTGGAGGGGCTGGTCCCTGGCTGGCTTGGAAAAGATGTTTAAGCGGCATTCACTTGCTCGATTCCTCAGTTTCTCCATCTGTGAAATGGGATTCGACATCGCAGAGAGAGGGGGGAGAGGGAAAGACGGGGCCGGGGATGGAATTGTCAGAGGGCTTGAGTGCTCGACTTGCTTTCCTGGGCGCCTGGAAAACTGACAGGTTGTGAGGGGGCTGGAAGTCTTGGAGGAGGGCAAGGGACACTGCGGGGTGGCGTAACCAGGACAACCATTCCCCAATCAACCCCTTTCTCGTGGCGTCCTCTATAAGTGCTGTGGTCCAATGGCGACATCTCTGCTACCAAGGGAGGATGCGCTGTGCAGGCTCCAAATTTGGGGCCATAAACCCCACTTGGTGATTCCCAGGAAGGCGCCTGGGCGAGGCGCTGTCCAATGAAAGGCGGTCCTTCCCCCCAAACATCAACGAAGCCCTGCAAGAGTTGCCGAGACGGCCCCCAGAGCGTACTACCCCTGGGAAGCCTCCTCCCAAGGCGGATGGAGTTCCCTGTCAACTCTGCTGCTGGCGATTCCCAAATGGGCGTTCATGGTCAGACCGCTGGGCGTGCTCACGGCTTTTGGAATCTGGATGTGGAGCTGGAGGCGGTGGGGCTGATGGAGCACTGTAGGTACCACATCATATGTTTCCCTTGACTGGCGTCACAAACACAACTTCTTGGAATCTCATGCCTGTTGCTGGCTGTGTTATCTGGAGCAAGTGTGTTTCACCTCTCTGAGCCTTTATTTCTTGCATCTGCAAAGTGGTGTACAGTAGTAGCCACGTTCCTGGCTCTGAGTAAGGAGTCATGAGAGTATATGTAAAGGGCCCACCACCCAGCTACTCACAGTAGATGCTCAAGAGACAGGAACAACCCTATCATTATATGAAGTTCAATGCAACTGTAAGTTTCCTGAGTATCTCTCTGCTTGGTGCCAGGCAGAGTGTCGGATACTGGGGGATGGGGGGTGGGGGGAGGGGTTCCACGATTAGAATGACAAGATCCTTCAAGGAGGTCTTGGTCTGCCCAAGAGATGAAGGCATTCGCAGATAACTTCAATTAATTCAGAACTGAATGCACCTCCAGTGGCACTGAGCATTGTTTTGGATGTCAAGTGCCCGGCCAGGGGAAAGGGCACTGAGGAGGGAGCCATTTGTTGTTCCTTTTGAGGAGAAAGGTTCACCAAGGAAGTGATGTCAGAGGCAGGCCTGGAATTTCCACCAATGGTAGGATGGCATTGCCAGGAAGGCAAAGAGCAGAAGCAAAGACCTCGAGGCGTCAACGTGCCCAGGATGTTGGACATATGTCTTGCAGTGACTGGGGTAGAGGGTGAGGCAGAGATACCGGAGATGAGGGCAAAAAGAGAAGCAGATAAAGGAGGGGTGTGGTCCCAGCCTCCCGAGAGCAAAAAGATCATTAAGAGAATGAGCTGGCAAGTTGGAAGTGAGGTAAGGAGGGAATGTCTTGTGGCATTGGTTTTCTATTTAAATCTCCCCATCCATTTCTAGTCTGGCGTCCTTTGCCAGGAAGCCGTAGGTCCTCAGCTGCATCTGTAGAGTGCAACTGGGTCCTCAGGCATTGCAGGCTGCTGAGTCAGCGCTTCAGGCGTCACACTGGGATTTGCCCAGGGGCTGTGGGGAACAGAGAGATGCGGTGTGATCCGGAGACCTAGGTCTGAGTCCCAGCCTGCCGCCTGAAACATTTGACTTGTCCTCTCTGGGGGCCAGTATTTTCCTACATGGCATGAGGAGTTGGGACCAGGGCTTCTATATTCTGCCCTCGAGAAGCTGCCCCTGTAGCTACACAGTGAAAGCCAAGGCACAGGAAGGAATCTGAAACAAGGCTGGGGGAATTGTTGGAAACATCTCAGAAGGTAAGCCCCAGGCAGTTGGAGGGTTGACACACGTGCTCTGGGTCAATGTGGGCAGAAAGTGGTCCCAGACCCTGAATGTGATCACCACAGACAAGCAGTCTAGACAAAGACGTCTTGTGAGACTGTGCCTCTGTGGGCTGAGTTGGGCCTGAAACTCAGAAGTAGGGATGAGATGAGAGCTCCACTGACATTTCCTGAGAACTTAAGGGAAAGGGAAGGAGAAGAGGATTGAAGTGAATAGGGCATATGGCACACACCTTCTCGGTTATTACCATCTAGCCTCTCAATAATCCAGGATGGGTGTCATCATCACCATTTTTTGCAGACAGAGAAACCATGTTCAGAGAGGTTAAGAGACTTGCCCAATGTCACACAGCTAGTTTGAGGCAGGGCGAGATTCAAACCTAGGTCTGCCTGACTCCATGCTCAGTGTCATCTGCTCTTGGTCATTTCTGGTTCATTGTCCTTTTCCATAATGCAGCTTTTCAGTCTAATGGGTGGTGAAATATTTCCTTAATTTCTCCCTTGAGCATATCTCACAAAAAGGAGCTGACCAGAACTTTGTGATTCAAGGCCAGATACATTATGACCTCTTCTTGCAAAAAATGTGCTAACAATCCCAGTCACCTCCAGGTCCCTGTGAAGGCTACTGAAATGCTCTAAATGAATAGAGTTCACCTCTTTAAAAGGAAAAGTCCACCTGAGGGCTTCCCTCCACCCTCTACTAATAATAATGACACCAAGCAAAACATACTTCCTGTTAGCTCCAAGGTAAATGTCCCCTGGATCCTAGAAGGAAAGGTCACTAGGGATTCACTTCCACATTTGTTGTAAAACCAGGACTTTTTTATTGCACATATAACCTTTCCTAAAACCACAAGGGCAAAATTTCAATCAGGATTTAGTGCCCAGAAAAAACTAAAACTGGAAGGCACTGCATCTTCCCCAAGGAACTGGCAAGCATCTTCCTTGCTAATAAGAAGAGCTCCGTAACTGATCAGTCTTCCCTTCTTGCACAGGTTGCCAGGAAGCTCAGAGCCAAATTCCACCTTCTAACAGCTTTGGCAGTTGCATCCTTCTTATTACTGCTTTACTGTTTCTAATCCTACTGTCTCAGCCTTGTTTTCTCTGCCTTTTATTAAAGATGTTCCCCTTTTTAATGGTAAGAGATAAATGCTTTAAATAAATCCACATTTGGAAGAGCTGCTGAAGGGACCTGGATTCCACAGGCCTTATGTTAAGCCAGGCACAGTTCTGTTCTGGTCTTGTCCATTCGCCCAACAGCTGAGGGATCCGTCTCTTGGAAAGAAGGAGGGACTGGCTTAAGACCAAGGAATTGCTCATCTAGCTGCTGACAGTGGCTAAGATCAAAATGCCGTGGGTCAGATCATTGTTGCCATTTTTTGCTCTACTGACAAGCAGCTTGCCTTGTTCCTGCCAGCTCCCTGGGAGGCCCAAACCACTATCCCCTATCTGTGCTCCAGAAAATCTCCCCCATTAGTCCCTCCTATTGAGGCATGGAAAGGTGGGGAGGTATGGGAATAGTGGCATGGGAGTGAGGGAGCAGCCCTAGATCATGAGGACAGGGAAGGCATCTCTGAGGAGGTGGCATTTCGGTGGGGGTCTTGCTAGATACAAAGGAGCCAGCCCCACTGAGAGTTGAGTAGCAGAATTTCTGGGCAGGGGACACAGCTAGTGCAAAGGCCCTGAGCAGGATGGAATTGGCTTGTTCTATGAAGTGGTAGAAGACTAGTGTGCCCGGGGTGCAGTGTGGCAAGAAGGACAAGAAGCAGATGTGGGGAGAAGTGGGTGGGATCTCCGCCAGCCTTTTCCAGTTTGGATTTCTTTGAAGTGCAGTGAAAGCCACTGGTTATTTTAAAGCTGGAGAGACCCAGAACTTGATTTGTTTTCATGAGATCACCTTGGTTGCCATCTGGATGATAAACATTTACTGAGTCCCAGTGAGTTTGTAGGCATGCTCATAAACCATCTCATTGAATTATCCCTGAATTCTAGATGACATTGAAGCAAACATGTCTCTTTTTTCTGGCTCCCCAGCATCTGATTCCCCTTCCAGTGGCTGGAGAGCATCCCACCTTCTGACCCTTGGGGAGAAGCAGAGTGTGCCCTTTCCCTGCCCACTGGATACGCTGAAACAACGAAAACTCCCTTCCCCGGCCTCCCTGCAGGTAAGGCACTGGTCCATGACCCAGGCTCAGTCAATCAGATGCATCTTCCTGACTTTGAATTGGGAGCATGGACCATGGACAATCCTTTCAGGCATGGGTGGGGCACAGTGCAGTCAGTTCTCAGGGGCAGTAATGTCAGTAGCTGGGTCCAACAGAGCTATGGGCTAGGGCTGGTGGTGCAGGCTTTGGCACCTGTTGGTCAGATTGGGGAGCAGTGTCTTTACCACATCAGGTCTCTAGCATGATCTTGGCTGTGGCTCTGGCTGTGTGCACCCCACACCTGCTTCTCCAGCTTCCAGAGGATCATGAGCTACCTGAAATCCTTTCACTGTGTTCCTTTTCAATTTACAAGTTGTCTATTGCTGTGTAATCAATAGCCCGAAACTTAACAGCTGAAGACAGTAAACATTTATTATCACACAGTTTCTGACAGGCCAGGAAAGCCACAGCCCTTTATAAACTAATCTCAGAAGTGACATGCCATCACTACTGCCATATTCTGTGGTCACACAGACCAACCCTGGTATAGTGTGGGAGGGGACTACACGAGGGTGCAGCCACCAGGAGTAGGGATCCTTGGTGGTCACCTTGGAGACTGGTGACCAAAATCAGCCAGAGCAATTTCTGTTGTTTGCAACATTAAAACCAAGGCATTATGGAGCTTGTAGATGATCATGCAGTTATTCATCAAAATTTCTTAACAGTGTGTCTAACCAGGGGAATAGGCAAAGGAAACCCCCAGATATCATCTGAGAGCCAGCGGTAGAGCTTGCCTTGTAGACAGGACCTTGGCAGACTGGTAAAATCAAAGAGGTTGAAATCATTGATTGGAGTACAAGTTGTGGAGTACTCTTTACAAACTTGAGACTCTGGGCAACTCTCTCCATTTTGGAAGACCTTGGTGGTGGTGAGTATTGGAATTGATGGTTTCTACAGCACTCTCTCAGTCTCCTTGTCTGTAAATAGGGCTGGGAATATTGGATTCAATCATCATTCAAGAGATGAAGTATGTTCTCAGTCTTGCAGAGGGATGCTAGAGAAAGGGATAGGGACTGGGGCATTAGAGAGGCCCCTTTTTGTCCCAGGAGACTCCAGGATGACTCTTGAATGCCACACACTCCTAAACCTGAGAGATCCTCATGCAGATTGGCGAACGGCTTTAGGACTGCTGGGTGGAGCCACAGTGAGACAGATAAGCTCCAGGAAAATAAGAACTGCCAAAACAATGGAACTACCCAACAAAAAAAGGGGCTGCCACTGCAAGTGGTGGGTTTCTTGTTACTGGAGGTGTATAAGCCAAGGTTGGGGGCTCTTCTGAAGATAATTTATGCCCAGGTAGATGTTATGTTTAATGATCTCCAAAGTCCCACCATAAGGGAATATTCTTCATTCCAGAAATGGTGCAGCCACATTGCTGGTGGAGAGCACTGTCATGAAAGAATAGAGCTCTGGGCCAGGAACCAAGAGATGTGGGTTCTAGTCCCACCCCTGTTATTTGACTCCTGGGGAACTAGAGTCAGATCTTGTATCTGCTCAGAGCCTCAGTGGTTTTTTCTCAATTTGTAAAATGAGGGACCAGTTTCCGCATGTCAATCCATACAGCCACGCTTGTCAGAGAACATTTCCCTCGTCCTTGAGAAGATGAAAACCATAAAGCAATGTAGCATTATTTTCAGAAAGCTAAAGCTATTCAATTTAAAGGACGATCTTCATTTTGAATGAAATATTTCCTACTATTTTTGTTGTTCAAATGTCCTTTTTCTTTTATGCAAGGGTGATAATAGCATGTGTAGAAGATGGAAGTGGTGTTACTGTTTTTCTGAGGGACCCTACTTGGCAAAATGAAAGGTTGACAAACCTATAGTAGTTCCTCCAGTTATGAAAGTAAGAAATATAGGAATCACTGGGCTTAAAGATTCCAAATAATCTTTAACATTGTTTCTCTCTCCCTCAACTCATCCCTCCATATCTAAAGCACTGATTGACACATCAGACACTAGAGCCACTAAGATGAGTGAGACACCTACAGTCCCTTCCTCTGTGAAGCTCAGAGTATCCCAAGGAAGACCAACATATAGGCACATAAACAAATGGATATTTAGGTTAGGTCACATTTTTTATCATAAAAATGTGGCAGTACACATCCTTAGTTGTATCTTTTGTTTGCTTCTCTGGTTATTCCCTTAAGATAAGTTCCCAAAGTGAAATTTCAGGGTCAACAATATGCCCTGCTTGACATCCTAAAATCCTTTTTTCTTTTTTCTTTTCTTTTCTTTTTTTTTTTTTTTTTGAGATGGAGTCTCACCCTTTTGCCCAGGCTGGAGTGCAGTGGTGCAATCTCTGCTCACTGCAACCTCCACCTCCTGGGTTCAAACGATTCTCCTGCCTCAGCCTCCCAAGTAGCTGGGATTACAGGCATGTGCCACCATGCCCAGCTGATTTTTGTATTTTTAGTGGAGATGGGGTTTCACAATCTCCAGTTGGCCAGGCTGGTCTTGAACTCCTGACCTCGTGATCCGTCTGCTTCTGCCTCCCAAAGTGCTGAGATTACAGGCGTGAGCCACTGCTCCCAGCCCCATCCTAAAACATTTTGCCCAGTTGTCCTCCAAAGTGATTGTGCCCGTGTCAGTTCTCATTGATTTTGTACGAGCCTGCTTGTTTCCCTGACACCCTTACGCTGAACACCATCAATCTGCTTAATCTTCAGTGGTTTGCTATGCAACTGATGTATCTCATTGTTGTTTCAAATTATATGACACCACTAGCAACATGAGCTTATTTTAATATGTTTACTCATCTTTCATGCTTCTTTTGCAAATTGCTTGATTATGTCCTTTGTCCATTTAAAATTGGAGTCCTTGTTTTTCTTATTGATTTAGAAATGTAGTTTACATATTAAGGATAACAAAACACTTTGTTTGAAATATGTAATGCAGTTTTTTCAATGCAAGCAATTTTTATAACTTTATTTCTGATGTCTTTTGCTGTATGGAAATTTAGATGTTTTCTGTTTTTCCTTTTAGTTTTGTGAACATGGTTAGACAGGACTACTTCTTCAGTAAATTGTAAAAAAAAAATCTTAGATTTTCTTCTAGTTGCTCTTTTTGTTTGTTTGTTTAAATATCTGATATTTAAACATATCCAGATATTTGTTAAATATCTGGAATTTACTTTGGTGCAGAGTATAGCATAGGGATGTGACTTTATGTTTTCCTTAGTGGAGAGTTGCCCTAACACCAATTATAGAATAATCCATCTATTCCTTGTTCTTTTGTAGTGCCATCTGTATCATGCACTAAATTTATTTATTTTTGAGACAGAGTCGCTCTGTCACCCAGGCCGGAGTTTAGTGGCAATGGTCATGGCTCCCTGCAGCCTCAACTTCTTAGACTCAAGCGATCCTTCCACCTCAGTCTCCTGAGTAGCTGGGACTACAGGCACATACCACCGTGCCTGTCTAATTTCTAAAAGTATTTTGTAGAGATGGGGTCTCACTATGTTCCCCAGGCTGGTCTTGCACTCCTGAGTGTAAGTGATCCTTCCTCCTCGGCTGCCCAAGGTACTAGGATTATAGGCGGGAGCTACACCAGCCTCCTTCCATTATTTTGAATGAATGCAATGTTTTCTCTTCTCTAAGAATATCTTTTTTTCCTTCTGTTCTCTGTATTACCTGCTTCTTCAAGTTTCCCCCCTGCCACCCCCGTTCACTGGGCTCCCTTTCAGGCAGTGGCTTTCTTCAAATGTCTGATGATCCTTGGCTGCCTTTTCATTCTTAAGAGCAAGTTGCTCAACAAGCTTGGTACACTCAGGCGGGTGGGATTCACAGACTGAATGCTTTACTGGAGGGTGAAGCTGTGTTTTTCCTGTGTGGTGTAGGTCTTCCCTTCTTTTACAAAGAATGACCTCCACTTTCTCACCAGTGGGGGTGTGTGTGTGTGTGGGCAGACGGCGGACACAAGGGTTGAGAGTCATAAATCTAGTCCTGGTCTGACTTCAAGGTAATGCTGGGTCAGAAGGGATCTCTGATTTTGGACCTGAGTGGGGAAGGAGTTGGAGGACTCAAACTGCTCCTTACCCATCTGTTTGCTTGCTTGCTTTCTCTCTTTCTTTATAGGGTCTTACTGTGTCACGCAGGCTGGATTGGAGTTCAATTGCACCATCTCAGCTTACTGTAACCTTGCTGGGTTCAAGCAGTCCTCCCACCTCAGCCTCCTGAGTAGCCAGGGTTACAGATGCACGCCACCATGCCCAGCTAATTTTCCTTTTTGTAGAGATGAGGTCTCGCCATGTTGCCCAGGTTGGTCTGGAACTCTTGGGCTCAAGCAATTCTCCTGCCTTGGCCTCCCAAAGTGTTGGGATTACAGGCATGAGCCACCACACCCAGCCTCCCATCTGTTTTTGTTTGTTTGTTTGTTTTCTTTTTTTTTTTCTGAGACGGAGTCTCTGTCACTCAGGCGGGAGCACAGTGGTGCGATCTCAGCTCACTGCAACCTCCGCCTCCTAGATTCAAGTAATTCTCCTGCCTCAGCCTCCTGAGTATTACAGGCATGTGCCACCACACCTGGCTAATTTTTATATTTTTAGTAGAGACGGGGTTTCACCATGTTGGCCAGGCTGGTCTCAAATTCCTGACATCAAGTGATCTGCCTGCCTCGGCTCCATCTGTGTTTGTTTGTTTGTTTGTTTGTCTGTTTTTGAGACAGAGTCTTATTCCCTCGTCCAGGCTGGAGTGCAGTGGTGCAATCTTAGCTCACTGCAATCTCCGCCTCCCAGGTTCAAACAATTCTCCTGCCTCAGCCTCCCAAGTACCTGGGATTACAGGTGCCTGCCACCACAACCAGCTAATCTTTCTTTCTTTCTTTCTTTCTTTCTTTCTTTCTTTCTTTCTTTCTTTCTTTCTTTCTTTCTTTCTTTCTTTCTTTCTTTCTTTTTCTTTTCTTTTCTTTTCTTTTCTTTTCTTTTCTTTTTTTTGTATTTTTAGTAGAGATGGGGTTTCACCA